CCTTTCCCTCTTTTCAAGGCACATCTCATTGCAGAGAAGCCCTGAATGTTTATTTAGAATAGAATTAGAGCATTTCCAAACTCCCACATTTACATAAGGTGAAATATTCCCGCAGAGCCACAAAAGACACAGGAATAATTAAACATTCCGAGTTTTGTGCACCCATTTAATTTGGCCCTTCACCTCTTTCCCTGAAGACTTCAGCCCATCCCTGTTTTCCATGAAGCACTCAGTTCTCATCAGAACCATCAACAGCAGGGCAAAGGCACCTGAATTAAAATTAACAGGTTGTGTTTCACTATTGGAAATTTTATAGCACTGAACTGGATCAATAAAAATGTACTTTGGAAATAGAGAGTCTCCCATGTGATCAATTCATAATCCCCTTTTTTCTCCCAAACTCTTCTCCCTGCAGAGTAAAATGTGATCTTTGGCATCACAAAAAGTAAGAAGTGGAAGCCTCAGAATTTGTAGGTTTAATAATAAAAACATATAAACCCAATAAAAATATTAAAACCATATAAATCTCATTAAAAATATAAACCCCAATGGTGTCTCCCACAATTCCCCCTTATCTCTAGGTCATATAATATTTATATATCTATTTAAATAAATACCTATATATTTAAACTTCAGAATTAAATTATAGAAAGCTTCAAGCTTTTCCATAATTGGTTTTTTTATAATTTTGACCATTCTGAAGTGAAGAAGGCAACAATCACCGGGGTTTTTCTGCAGGAAATGGTTCTACATAAAGTGTGAAATCAAATTTTCAGGTCAGATGATTCAAAGCCTCATCCTGTTCCAGCCCCAAAGGATAAAATCCCCCAGATAAACAGAGATCTCAAAAGTCTTGTTGTCTTAAATACCAGAAAACAGGAGATATTTTTAATTTTTCCCCTCAACCATTAAAAATATGCAATGGGCTTTTAAACACTCACCTGAGCTTTTACTTTTACTTCATTTTAAGAGATATTTTCCCACCTGCTTTCTGATAACCAGAGAGGATTTACTGTGGTTGATGTAAAATGAAGTGTAAGAACACAACTCCCACCCTGCAATGGCAAAATTGGGGTTATATTTGATAATTAATCCATCTCACCAGCACCCAAACAAGGGAATTTCAATCATTTAATCCCTGCTTCTTAAATTGGTTTAAATCAAGCTTAAATATTTAAATATTTAAGGGATTATTTGTTTTTAAGAGAGGTTAAATCACTGAAGAATCACTGGTTTTGCACTGGGCAATAATGTAACCAAACCATACCTTAAACATCTGTGTCCTTCTGCTCTTTCTTTTTTATTTATTTCTTATTTGGTTTTATTAAGAAATTCATGAACTGTGCACAAAAGGGTCACATAATGATTTACAAACCAGAAGACATTTCCCATATGTACAGATATTTTGAGGGTAACATTTGAAAAATACATATTATACAATATCAGTGATGAACAACCTGCTCCTGTATTTATCAAATACAAAGGACTTCTGCAAAAACATCTCAAATATGCAGCCAATTTTATATGTAAAACAAAGGAAAAGTGTATCTTGATGAAATAACAAAATGTAAAAAGAATATTTGCAAATTAAGTGCTTTGGGCAGAAAAAAAAATACATGAAATATTCCTTATTTTAAATATTGTTGTCAGTTATACAGGTCAGGTGCTACAAAACCAACCTCCAGTGCTGTTTTTACCTCAGACAACCCTAAAAGCACATTCTAAAGTATTTTAAACAATTCACAGTCTCTCAGAAAACACCCTTTATTGGTAAATAGTTTGCTCAGTGACAAATCTGAGTTGCTGAAATCACCTGAATTTATCTGTTAAAGAACCTTCTGGTCCATATGCACTGACAGAAACAGGTATTACCACAACTGGGAGTGAAGTGGTTTGTGCTTTATGGGCTCAAGCTCCTTTTTTACATCTTCAGTACTTACAGTTTGCTAAATTTGGGTTTAGGACAATTTAAACAAGACTTTGGAGAGGTCCCTGAGGCTGCAGAAATAACCCAACTTCTTCACTTGGTGCTTAAACAGAGAAATTGGTACTTAATTAGAGGCAACCAAGGTTAAGTCATTTGAATGGCAAAGACAATTTAAAAGCCACTAGCAGAGGGAGAGGTAATTTCCCTTTTTTTCTCAGACATTATGGACTAAAATGGAGCCAGAAAAATGAGCCCAGCTCAAAATGAGAGCAAAGAAATAATTCTGTGTGTCACCCAGCCATTGAGATCTCCACAAATTCTCACTCCTGTTGCCCACTAAATGTTCCTGTGGCTTTTTTTTTTAATGTTTATCAAAATATGCCAGCACAAAACATTCAAGAAGCATTAAGGTGCCCAAAATGTCAGTTATTGCTGCACAGTCACACTGGTCCTCACTGCAGGACTGGCTGCTGCTCGTTCTCTCTCTTTAACAATTTCCATCTGGATTTTGGCTCTGATTTTCTTCCAATCCACTTCCAGCTGTAAAGAACAGAAAAGCAAATACCCAGAGGTCAATTAGAGAGAGGGCAGATAATTATTCACTAGCAGGACAACTGGAAGATATGATTACAAAGTGATGAGAGGATTTAACTTCTATTAATGGAAGATATGAAGGCACAGTTGAGTTCTAACAGAGCTTCCACCTTTAAAATCAACCCAGCTTGATCTATTTGAACAGGACACATCTCATTGTGTCTGGAAATAAGACATTAAAACACAAAAATAACTTGCTTCTGATTTCAATGTCATGACATCAGTGTCCTGTTACTGAGAATTCATCAATAATAAACGAGGGATGTCTCCTCTGGGTAAGCTGAGAGCGTGTTCCACCAGTTATCTGCTGCAACAGAAATCAGATTTCTGCTTCAAATTTTGCCTCCTGCATCAATAAATGTCTTGGAATTGTCATTTTCTGCCTGTATTCTGTGTCAGTGAAACCTCAGCCCATGGATACAGCACAATATCCATGGGACAAATGTGAGGTATGACAGTTGTCTGGTTTTCCAAAAATGATTGATGTGAAAAAAATGGATTGTGGTGCCTTTGATGACCATAAAAACACGTCCAAAAACTGGGGAAAAAATGGAATTTGGAATTTGTGCAGTTCAGTTTCACTGCTGGAGAATTAACCCTGTCAAAGATGGGATGGGAAAAGGATTTCAAGTGCTGCACAGGGAGTTTTTGGAGTAGCTGCTCCTCTGTTAACCAAGTCAGGGAATAACAAGGAAGATTTTCCATGAAGGAATATGTTACTGCAATGTCCATGTTCTCAGGTCAAAAGACTAATAATACCTTAATTCAGGATGCATTTAGTGGATCCAGGATTCTCAGGATATATATAAAGTATTAAAAAACTGATGTGTAAAATATAGATACAAGCACTAAGCACATTGTTTAGGTCAGTCTAGAAAAGAGGAAAAAAATCCTTATTTAAGCCTGAAGGAGTTTTAGGTGGTGAGAGGGAAGCTGAGACCCTTTTTTATCCCTGGGAAGGAACAGCAGCACAAAATCTGGCTTTTCTCTTGCGTGGCCTTGTGATTTCCTTCTGATTTTGCTTTATGAGGTTGCAATGAAAATTTAGTTATAGTTTAAAATCCACTCCATTAAACAGGTTCCCTCCTACCCTCAGATCCAGTAGATGAGACCTCCAGCACGTGGATGTGGAAAAGGATTCCTTTACTCCACAAATCTGCAGTCTGAGACCAAAGTTTGAAGACTGTGAGGTGAAAAATCACCTTGCTTAGAAATGCTTCTAGAATCTCCAGCTTTATTGATGATTTAAAGCCAATTAGTGTTTATTTATCTGAAATGTGTCTCTGGGGAGCACCGGGGGATTAATGTGATTTTTGCTCTCTCATGGATTTAAAGGACAGAACACACACACTCCCAGCACAGCAGCTGGAAGTGCTGCAGGATGGGAGTGCTTGGGATGTGTGCAGTTATCCTGCTGGATTTTCCAGGTGAATTACTGCAGAATGGTTCACTGGGGGCCAGGCACTGGGCAGTCCCTTGTTGAGGGAAGGAAACATCCTCAGGAGTGCTAAAAACTAATGATTTCCATTAGAAATTCAGCTTTATTGTCCAATAAAAGGATCTGAGCTAACAGCTGGGATGTGTTCCCTGATCCATCAGCTCCTCCTGGATGGAAGGATTTGATGAAAAGGTCCCTTTTCCTAATTTCACCCTCAGAAAGCTGAGGAACAATGGGGGGAAAAGCAGGAAAACCATGAGGGCTGTTCAATGGAAGGTGCACATGTGGGTGACTCTCAGAAGGGAAATGTGTGGAAAGATTCCAGTGGAATCCAAGATACTTCCAACCTGATGAACTTTAAGATGTGCCCTTAAAGACAGTTCCCCATCTGTCTTTAAGATCTGTTAAATACATTGAAAAATAGTAATAAATTGAAGTGACCTACTGATGCTGGAGAGGGTTCCCAGGGTTGGCTGACAATGGATATTTAACAGTTTATCATATTTGGCAGAATGGTTTGGAGTTCACTTAATAAATATCTGGATACCTTCAAAGTTTGTTATTGTTGGTATCCATAAAATGACATTAAAATATTGAAGACATTTAAGAGAGACACATTTAACCACAGTAAGGTCCAGCTCCTTGTTTATAGAAAATTACTGTGCCTTCATTTCTATAACTCTTGCCAGATATTATATATACTTTTTTATATATGTATATATACATATATACATATTTTATATACATATATACACACATATATACCTATATATATACATATATACATATTTTATATACATATATACATATATACACATATATACACATATATACATATATATACATATATACACATATATACATATATACACATATATATACCTATATATATACACA